AGCCTTGAGATCGATAGTCTTGCTCGCTTTGCTGTTGAAGATCACAACAAAAGCAGGTTCGTCGTTACACTATTTTTCCATTCGGTTTTGCCTTACTGAAATTCGTGGGAAAGTTAAATATGCGAGTTATTTTGGAACTGGATTGGCCACTGATGATGTGTTTCGGCTTTGATTAATTTGATTTGATGAGGTTACTTCTTGTTTGAATCAAATTTCTTAATCCAGATTATTCTTGTATTCTCCAACTAGTGCGGATTGATGGTATTTAAATTTGTCGTTCGCATTTCTAATAGCACTATTGGGATTCTCTATTTTGTTCCAGGTCAATTTAGTTGAGTAATAATCGTCTTTTTTTCCCCTCTGATTGTGTTTGTTGTACGATTGCAGAATACTCTTTTGAATTTGGAAAGGTGATAGGTGCAAAAGAGCAGGTGGTTGCTGGCACTATGTACTACATCACGCTGGAGGCAACTGATGGTGGGAAGAAAAAGGTTTATGAAAAAAAATTTGGGTGAAGCCATGGCAGAACTTCAAACAGGTGCAAGAGTTAAAGCTCGTTGGTGATGCCCCTTCTGAGTCTTCTAGCTAGGTATTTGACTACACTGCAGTATGTGCTCTGGTTCGGATTTAAAAGTTTGAAATGTTCACTGTTATCCACGTTTGTCTTCTGAGGGAGCACAATTTCTGCTTGTTTTTAATATTTAGAACTAGCCAAAGGAACTCTAAATCTTGTTTAAAAGTGTTCAAATTTTAGCCCTCTAATGTTTAGTGTTTTGAAGAACGTTTTTGAAGAACGAAAGCATATGGAATTGTTATTCTCGGTTGTATATGGAACTGTTATTCTAATGGAATAAAACCAAAAAGGGTTGAAGAACATGAGGAATAAGTAAGAACAGCTCAATTCCATATGCTAGTAGACTATATTTTTTCCTCTGTTATAAGTTTCTATCCCCGGACTGACTAGGTGTTCATGACGTCCAGACGAATAACCTTGTCATTTATTATGCTTTGCTCCGTTAGAGCTTTAACTTGCAGGAGCAGAAGTTATTGAAAATAAGCACTTTTTGTAATTTTCTGATTTTGCTGTACCAAAGCAGGGACAAGCTTAGAACTTGATCTTGTGATGGCCTTGAGATTGCCAAAAGGACGGCTCATTGATGATTACAGGTTGAAATAGTATTTACGCCAAAAGATGAATCCTTTTGATGAGGACAAGTTAGACAATTACACCTGCCTTAAAATTGAATAATCTCATTGTATGCTCTTAATCACCCTTCACCCATTCTTTTGTATGTCTTTCTGCTGCTCATTAACAGGACCTGTATGATTTAGCTTTAAGCAATATTAGTTTGTATTGTCCTTTTGTTATGCTTTTTTTTTTTTCCCCTCATTTCATTGCTTTTCTTCATTTAATAATCCCATTTCAGGTATATTGATTTTGGTTTTACCGTCACATCTCTGACATCTGAATTTTAATTATTGAACAAAGAATTTCTGGTTGTTTTGTAATGAACTTCTCCTTCACATCTGAATTTGGGTTTGATGCGCCTTTAATGCCTCTTGTTAGTAAGGTTTGCTAAAAATATGATTTGGTTTTTACTTTTATAGGTTAATGAAGATTCTAGGTGGCTAGCTTGGCTTGAAGGTGGAGTTATTAGGATGTCAAAAGTATGATATATAAGGAATAAAAGTAGCTAATTGATTACCATCTGGATTTATATTCAAGCCTTTACTTATTATGGAAGATGGATGCTTTTGTAATCTTTTTATAAATTCAAGTACAAGAAATATGGTGTATTATGTATTAATATTTATAACTGATGCTCCTTGTGAAGCAAGAAATTGAGGACGACTTGAAAATGCCTATATTAGGGGCCGCTTCTAAAGGGCACCATCCATATCATCATCTCTAGTGTTGATTATATGTATATTTTTTTTTTTTTAGGAAAATCCATATCCGTATTTCATTTGTAATCTCAAATTTTGTAACAAGTCATATTATGTACAAGTCACACACAGCATTGCTCAATCTCTTTTATTTGTAAATCTTCAGACTAACTGTCTATTACATTTAAGGATATAAATTTAACAAATTGATAACAAAAATCTTTAAAAACAAATGATTTATCAAATCTGAAGGATTTAATATTTGTAATGGATAGACATACTGTCTTTATGATAAAATCTTAATTTTTTATTGTAATAATTCTTGAAGTTCTTATAACCTAGAGAAATTCAAGCTATGATTTTCTAATCTCAAGAGTTGAGAAGTAATGAAGCAAGAAATTTAGAATTTGGGAATAATAATTCTAATTCTTTTGTGATGTGAAGTGATAAAAAAAATTATCAAGTTACATTCTGAGTCCGTATTTTTGTCTATTGATGGCCAAATATTAAGGGTACCTGCCTAGTCCTTGAAAATAATTTGAATTGTTTGTCAGGTTCGGGTCCTTGAATATAATTTTTCTCATGTTTCTCTTTTAGAGATGATTTATTTAACAATCATTTGTTACCATGAAAATATTTGGCTTTCTTATTTCTCTGGTAATTTAATATTAAAGATCAATTTAAACAAGTCACACTTTGTAAAATCCAATTTCCCTATTTCCACTGATTATAGATATGCGGGCTAAGCATGGAGCCGAACCCTATTTCACATAACTCTTACTTTCGCGGTTGCCCAAAAAAAAAAAAAACACTTGTTGCTTTTGCCAAATTATAACCAAGTCCTTTTTAAAAGCCAAACAAGCCCTGTATGAATACACCTGCAGCTAAACTTAAATTAGCACAAACACTTCCACAAACAGTAGTAGTGACGTACAATCATAACCTGCAGCATATAGAATTCAGTCACTCATCAAATATTATCCTTCGTATGTATACAAGAATTCTCACATGGGACAAGGATTGTATGAACACTCCTACTGCTAAAATTAACACAAGCACTTCCACAAATAGTAATGGTGATGTACAATCATAATCTGCAGCATATAGAATTCAGTCACCCGTCGAACGTTATCCTTCGTATGTATATAAGAATTCTCACATGGGACAAAGTCCTCGTGCTTGTATTGTATGAACAAACCTGCTGCTAAACTTAAATTAACACAAACACTTCCCCAAATAGTAATAGTGATGTACAATCATAATCTGCAGCATACAAAATCCAGTCACTCCTCAAACGTTATCCTTCGTATGTGTATAAGAATTTTCACACGGGACAAAGTCCTCATGCTTGCTCTCCTGAACTGCCAACCGACTTATATCTCTCATATGCTAGCTTTGCTAGCTTACTAGCTCTGTCATGTGCATAATTGAAGATTTTGTGAATAAGCTTCCTAACCATTTCAATTGCCAGAATGCAGTAAAGGAAAATGGCCAGTGTTATTAGGTAAAGAATGAACAAGGACAAAACATTAGGTGACATAGAAACTGAGAGAGTTATGTAAGTTATCATCATAGAAACAAGAGCAACAGGCAGCAACACCCTGACATAGGACCCGTTTCTGTAGAAGAATATGAGGAAGGCAGCAGCGAAAAACCCAGATGTGTTGAAAGACATGAATAGATAGTAAGTGATATCTGGACAAGAATAAGATTGGTTGGTTCTGTGGAAGATGCACTTGGGATGGTTCTTCATGTCTTCCTTCCAGATTGTTTGTGGAGGTGAAAGGCCAGCTTGGTAAGTGACTGTAGCTATTAAACTGGCCACAACTAGTACCATTTGTTCTAAACTCTCCCATATGCCCTTATTAGAGTTCTCTCCTGTTTGCTGAGAAGTCTGAGCTGTGTCCGCATTTCCATTGTGTGTTATGGATTTAGGTGTCTCTAAGTGGTTTTCTGTGAGGACCTCTAAGGTGGTACTGTCTTTGTCTGTTTTGCCTTTGAAACCCAACAACTCCAGAACCTGCAAGATTATTAAGTTTTCTCACAATTATTGTTTTAGATTTAGCAATCAGAATGTCTCTAGCGAGATGGGCCTCTCTGATAACTTGTTATTGTTAATAAATACTTCCTATGGTCTATAATATAGAGTACTCTAGAAATCATGCTTGGTTCAAAATATAGGACATTTAGTAGTTTCTTATAATTTTTTTTCCCAACTACCCCTACTTCATTTATTCTTTTTGAGAAAAATGGTCCATTAAAATTTTAATTGTTATTATTAAAACAATCATATAAGGCATTTGTTGAAGATATACTTACAAAGATGTATAAATTTTTAAAAGATTTAGGTTCCAACTAACTTTTTTTAAATTACCCTATATTATTGACCGGAGGGAGTACATAAATACGCACGAGTGTGTGAGATTGTTTATTTAGCAGGCATTGACCATTAGTTGTTGACTTTCAGTTGCACCCGTTGGTCAACCCAGTGAGAAAACAAGGATTGCTTTAAGCAGATATCAGTGAGTTGTTCTTTTAGTGTTAATGCTATGACAATTTAGAATAACAGGAATAAGAAGAAAAAAGAAACAGAATCATGAAGATAAATTCAGCTCAATATATCTAATCCATGCCAAAAAGATAAATTCAATATGTATGTATTAAAGCGAAGCTATCTTTCTGAACAATAAACCCTTAGCTCTGCTAATACAGTTCTATATATGCTCACAGAAACTTAGAATCTATACCTTTTATTTAAATCACAATCTCATTTCTCTTAATGATTTAATTCATTTTGTTTGATCCCAAAGAGTATAAGTCCCAAAAATTAGAAACTGCATATGAAACAGAAAGCTTACTTGGAGTTGTTTAGTAGCCATGGCAATATCTAGGACGGTTCTTCCATCTCTGTCTTTAGAGGTCATAATCTCATCATCATCACAAAGCTTCACCAAAACCCTAAGTGCTTCAAACTGGTGATTCTTCACAGCAAGGTGAAAAACAGTCTCACCTTGAGCAGTGACTTGTTTGGCCGCATCAGGACAGCAAGAAACCAACTCTTGAATGACACCAACCCTTCCTCTTATGGCTGCATGATGAAGTGGGTTCATCCCAAACTTGTCCTTGAGAAGGCAAAGGTTAGGCCTAAGCTTCAACGATAATAACTCTCTCACTATCTCAGTGTTTCCTGTGGCTGCTGCTATGTGCAAAGGAGTAAAGCCATCTTTGTTCAGCTCCTCTGTGAAAGAAGGCTTTAGACTCAGAAGTTCTCTTACATAGTTGGCTCTCCCTGCAAGTGTAGCGATATGCAATGGAGTTTCTGCAATCTGAGATAAAGCAACTCTGTCTAATATCAAGGGATCGCCTTCCAGTAATTCATTAAGTGCGTCAGTGTCTCCCAATTGAGCAGATTTTACCAATTTTGGATCCATGAGGATAAAACAAAGAAAAGCATTATGTTTTAAAGCACGAGTTGTATATATATAACCTTTGGCATCAAAGATGTTCCAGAGCTTTGTCGAAAGTTAACCCTTCATTTGAATGAGAAGAAAATAGGGAGAAGAGAAAATTAGAGGAAGAAAGTAAGCGTAACATGCATTTTTCCTTCCCGGTAAAAATTTTGTCCTTTAGTTTTTTCCTCTCTCTAGAAGAAATTAAGAAAAGAGAAGGGTGAATTTTTTCCCCCCTAATTTTCTTCCCTATTTATCTATTTTCTTCCTATTCTAAACAAAGCCTAAAAGTCATATTTCTCAATTACCTAAAAGGATTTTTTTTTAATTGACATTATGCATTTAAGATTTTGTTTCTAGAGTTTCCGGAGAAATCAATACCAAACTGATTGAGGAAAAAGAAAAATACCAAGTGGTTTAACTCTTCTAGATGTCATGTTCAGATTCAGATTAGATTACTAAAACAGTCGACTCGTTGGTTGTAGTCAATTCTGCAATCATGCAACAAACAAGCCAAACTTATAGGAAAACTGACTTTTTGGTATTTGTTAGTTCAGCAAGCACATGTCAAAACCACCCTTCAACTTTATTCTTCACAGTTGAGAGGCCAGACTCTTCTCGCTATACAATAACAACAAACTTTATCCTATTAAATGGGTCAGCTATATAGATTGCACTCTCCACTACACCCAATACACAAAGTATTATCTTTCTCATCTTCAGACAAAAGACTTCTAATGCTCAAAAGAGAGCTCTCCTACAGCTCCTACTCCCCAAAATAGACTTTAACACATCACTAGATTATGACTTTTTCCCTCTTACGGCTAGGATCCAAGGATAAACATCTGAACCAGTCACGGTTGTCCCTACTGAGCTATTCTTCTTCCTTGGATTCCTCTGGTAGGTCTTAGTAAAATCATGAGCTCTATCATAATACAAGACACCATTCCACAACCACTAGTGTCCTCACTATTAATTATTATAAAGTGAACTTTATTTCCATTAACCACCCCTATGCTCTCACCGCTCCTGAGTAGAGAGCGGACAGTTAAACAGTGCACATGTCCAACCCCTTATGGTAATACTGACTATACATATCATTATTGGAAGAAAATTGCTTCCTGAGGTAAAGCTTTTAAAAATAAACATGAAACTGACTATGCATCAGAAGTGAGATACACCAACTGGAATAGCAGTATGCAGAGAGATTTTTTTTTCAAGTTATGAGAAGTAAGATCAGTCACTTCAACCTACCATTTCAGAGTTTCAAACAATATTATCTAAAAGATATTGTCAGTAACTCAGCCTTCCAGGGATAGTCGTAAACTAGTGATGCCTCATGAAAATGAAGGATCCTTCGAGGCACGTTGTTGAAGATAACTACAAAGTAAAGGCATAAATATCACTTTAGTTCCATATAGCAATTCTCTGCAATCGCTGTAAACAGGAGACTCCAATACTTCTCAGAATAAGGTGCCTTAAATAACAAAACATACCATTCTAACAAGCACAAAACTACACAAATATGTAATCATGTTTGAAGAAACCCAGTGCAACATAATAGGCATCTGAAATAATCGAGAAAGCACATAGATATTTAAATGTTTTATTATCTTCTATGAATTATAAACCTCCCCTTGTTAGTTACTTTTGCTTATCTATCTTACTGATCTTTCTGAAGCTTTTTTGACTGGAAGGCTAGGAAATAAATGTGTTACTAATATCATATCAAGTGACAAGTGACATGTAAACCAATTCAACAATACTGATTAGCATAGACACGTTAGCAGACTCATAAGATAGGTGGATTGTATTTTACAACGCATGCATAGCAGCAAAATAAATAACAGGAAGACCTATGTGGACCAATAAGAAGCTAAAATAATCTAATCCAATTTCTTTTGTTGAAATCATAATGTTGATAAAAAGGCATGCTTTGACTTACTTCATAGCTTCATCAAGAGCTCCAGGAAGCCTATGTTCCTCATCAAATGCAGGAATTATTAAAGACATATACTTTGTTGCGGGATCAACAATTCGCGGGCAGGGAACCCAAATATACAGATACAGAGCAAGAATAAGTCAACAGACTCAGCCAACTCATGCATCAAACGTTCATCCTCATAATATGTTACCTAAATTCGCAGTTGACACAAATGAAAATCCAACAAAAAAAATATCACATATAATAATAAATGAATACCTTGGTATCTAGAATCTTTTCACCAGCCTTGATTAAAAATGAGTGAGACAGCATTCAAAATCACTCAACTAAGATAAAATATACATTCAGCAATTGCCAAGATGTAAAAAGTTGTTCACATGAAGGATAATGTGTAGTAGGACAAAATTATCAAGAAAGATGTTCACATAGAGTAAATGCAGATCTTCCTATTGAAAAACTTGTGTTTAGAGGTCATATCATATTATACCGTTAAGAAATCGCACTTTCATGAAAAGTGGAATCGCTACCTCTTCCTTGAGCTCTCAGTTCCCTCCTTTGAACAGGAATCACCATTGGGTTTCTTCAGTGTGAGTGATCTGATAATTGAATTGGACAAAATTTAAACATATAATGCTTTTATTAATATTTCATTCTAAAAGTATAAAATCTCATGAAGATACTACCGAAAAATAATCTTATGAAGGTTATTTTTAAAAATTAACTACATTTTCCAATGCCCATTTCTAGAATTAACCTTCTTTGGGTTTCCTTTCCTTAATTTAGGATGTAAGGTTTAAGGAATCTCCTTTTTATTGAAAGAAAAATGAAACAAAGAAAGAAGAAGAAGAAATTCCTTTCTCATTCTCATATGAACGATGAAAACTTCCACATGAGCCGACCAATGAGAGAGAGAGAGAGAGAGAGAGAGAGAGAGAAACAAAACACATGGTGTAGTGTGGGTCCTGGCCTCATGGGTTAAGAGGCCTAAGATCTATTAGCCAAGCCTATTTTTCTGGCCTAAAAACAAGAAATAATCGTATTTTGAAAATAACATGTTTTGCCTTGTAGAGCTTTTTGTTTTAGACAGACATCCAAATTAACAGTTAAACAGTTAAATATGATTCGAATATAATCCTCTAAAATTATTTCGAATATAATCCAAAACCCACTTATTTGTTCCCTCGTAAACTTTATATGCAAGCAACCAAAAAAAAAACCTCCAGTGAGAAAATAATCCTAATAATAGTAATAGTAATATTAAAGCACCTTAGCTAGCTAACAGTAAGAAACACTCACCAGTCCACAACAAGAAATACTAAATACATTTTGTAAGCTAGCAGAGTTTAAGGTGATCGCTGATCACTACTGAAAGATTCTTGCTGTGAGTATGAAACCTTCCAAATTTCCTTGAATAACAAGATTTACAAGATACGCAGAAGTTTCAAACATGAGTGAACACACCCACAGTCAAAGTTACACAAGGATGTACACAAATTTAGCCAACCTTATTACATTCATTTGGCTTTCCTCTCATCACATGACACACAACAAACAGTTGTAATTGCCAACTTAGACCTGTACTGATTATTAACAGAAAAGAATATTAATGGAGTACATCAAAATTCATAACAGCTGTACGAAATTGTATCTTCAAACTATAAAGCATTCACACCCAGTGAAGAAGCGGATCATGTTGTATTTGCAATGTCGTTGTTCATTTTTGCATCTTGTGCTGTGTCTCTGTATACGTGCTCCTTGGATGGCGAGCACTTTGGTGCATGATTGAGAAACTCAACGAATTCGATTGACATTTGAGAATGGCTCAGATCTTGCTTTTGGAGCGGGTTTAGTTGCTTCCGGAGCTCCAAACACGTTCCAGAATCTCAATGTTTCATCTGCTGCTGCTGATGCCACTGTACAACCATCTGGGCTCTACAGGTCGAAATGTAACATAATCAGAGAAAAAACTATAATAATCTTGCAAGAATGAAATGAAAGGAAGTTTTGCGCTTAAAAAAACCATTATATATAAAACTCACCTGAGCTAAATAAAGAACTCTTGAAGTATGACCATTAAGCTCAGCCAATTTCACCATTGATGGGTATTTCCAAAGTGTTAGCTGATTCTGGGTAAATCCATGAGAGCTAAGTAACTCCTTCTCATTCTTGTTCCACAACAAGGCACAAACCTGAGACCCAGTGTCAACTGAGTTCAAGCAAGTACCTGTGTGGGTGTTCCAGAATTTAATGCATCGATCTCCACTACCTCCCCCTGTGGCAAGCAAATTTCCTTGGAAAGGACACCAGGCAAGAGCTTTTACAGCAGATGTGTGTTCTTCAAGTCTGTGAAGCCATTGTGTTGCTGTGTTAGAAGATGCCACAGCTCTGTCCCATATGAAAAGCAGATTGTCATTCCCTCCACTGGCTAATTGTTGACCTGAGGCTGACCATTTCAGCCCACAAACCTCTTGTTCATGCCCTCTGTAGGTTTCAACAATGTGTGATCTAATTCTTACATCGTTGTTCACAATTCTACCATCCATTCCTCCTGTTGTAAGCAAGTGATTGTTCCATGCCAGAGACCCAACTCGCTGCCTATGACCACCTCTCAAAGTTCTCAACTGCAGAAACAAACAAGTGAGATTTAGGCTAAGGAGCACAGATATAACACACGGGTTTGTTATCCAAACAAGTGTGATTCTCATAAGACAAAAACCTGTCGATTTGAAGTGGTGTCCCAAAGTTGCACTTCAGAGTTGTTCAAGCCGACAGCAATATGCCTTCCATCTGGAGCCCAGCTGATGCTAGTGATAGGCCCATTTTCTTCATCAACAGTGACAAGTTCTGAAGTAGATCCGTTGCTAGCGTCCCATAAGTACACTGTGTTTCCAAGTGCTATTGCCAGAACATTGCTGCTTCCCCAGTCAAGTAAATTGAGGTAGTAATCATCCACAAGATCTGGAGCATCCAATGTCCTCTCGGAACTCTGCTTAACCAACAATCAATATCAGAACAGAAACGTGGAACATGATTAAGATAACTCGGACCCCATGAAATCCGCTAAAGCGAACAGAAACGCGGAACAAAGTTGATAAGAATTAAGATAATAAAGGGAAAATATGAGGCCTAGTGAAAACCACAATCCAGATTAGTGATTAACTACTATA